CAATCCCCCCCTTCCCTCCCTCTTCCATGCTGCATTATTGTTGTTCTTCTTCTATCTACTATTTATTTCCCCCCCCCCCCCCCTTCCCTCCCTCTTCCATGCTGCATTATTGTTGTTCTTCTTCAATCTACTATTTATTTTCTCTTTCTTAAACATGAATACTGTTTGTTTGCTTTCTTTATAATGAAGGGAGTAACGTATGGCCGTATGCCTATTTTCTTTCCTTGAAGAAACAAAAGAGAGAGACTAAAAAAATATTTTTACAAAAGTGGTTCTTTCTCTTACAGAAAAAACTAGATGGGCCCACATTAATAAAAAAAAATATTCAGATGCCCTAAATGTATTTTTTAAAAAAAATTATAACTTTAATTATATAAATTGGTTTTATTTTAATTAGATAATAAATATATAATAATAAAAACAAACTAAAAATAAAAGAAAGGGAAACATGATATAGTTTAATTTTCAGTCAATTAAATATAGAATGATAAGATTGAATTAAAAAAAACTAATCCGAGTTAATCTAAGTTAGCATGATATACATGTGACATGGGTAATAAAAGGTGAGCCATCCCAAAACCCAGATCATGAGATGAGGATAACTTAATAGAAAAAAATTAAAAAAATATGAAACTAATTTTTTTTTTTAAAAATTAATGTCGAATAATAAAATTAAAAAAAAGAAGCATAAATACGAAAAAATTGTTAATCTATGCTAACTTTTTAAATATGTGATCTGGGTTATTAGAATATGAACACTATATATGGAAAAACCACGAGGTTCAATCCCTAACAGGTTAAAATTGGAAAAACATTAATTATACAAAAAAATTCAAAATAAAAATTAGCAATTCAAAGCATGAGGATAAAAAATTTAAGTAAAAAATAAATTAGAGGGCAATTATAAATTTTTGATTGAACGATGAAAATAAAAAGAAAAATAACTTTAACTAAAAAGATAAAAAAATAAAATAACAAGGATTGAATTAAAAAATAATATAGCATAAATTTGAATTGAAGGATGGGTTTGAAAACAAATAATTTTTTTACAAAAAGATCGTGAAAAAAAATAAAAATAAAAATAAAAAGAATAAGAATGAAATAAAAAAATATATTGAAAAATTAGGATTTTAGGGTGAAATTGAAAATACATAAAATTTTTATAAAACAATTAATAAAAAAATTTAAAAATAAAAAATAAAAAGTTAATTAAAACATTAATAATAAAAAGGACTAATATAAAATTTAAAAAAAAAAACAAAGAGAAAAAAAAAAGTTTCATCAGGAAAAAAAACCAAGCCATTACCTGAGCACACCCGCCTCGGTAGGAAAAGAACATGGTGAAGAATCAAACAACATAATAAAAGAAAATTTATGGTCGCTGAGAGAGGCTGCTTGCGCGCCTTCCACACTCTAGTAATTATTTCTATTAAAATAATATTTAATATTTACTAAAATATCAAATCCACCTCGCTCTTCTTGGCAATATCATAATACAAGATGAAAAGACTAAAAGCTCCTGCGCACAAGCTTTAAAATTCTTGTTTTTGTGAGTAAAATTATTATTTTACTATATTTTAAACATTAAAAAGAAAAAAAAGTCTGTTATATGTCTTCTTCAAAAACTTCAAGAGTTACTTATTGTGCTTAAAAATTCAAAAGAGAAACATCCATTCCCAACCAGTCTTTTCAAGGACTCATGAGGCTTGTATATTATAGTAAAAATAGGTGTAAGAATAGATGCAGGCAACTTATTGTTTGCTGGTGCTCGAAATCCAGCCACCGTTACAGTGGCCGAAAAATCAAGAGAAGAGTTTTTAACTTAGAATACTATTTTCAGGTCATTTTCACCCAAAAAAAAAAATCACCTTAAAAAACCAAAATAAACCTTTCAACAGCCCAAAACACCCAAAATCACCGTAGAAAAGTTTGAAATTGAAAAAAAGAAAGCTACAGATGCTTCACTGTTAATAGTGTATTAGTTAATAGTGCAGATTAAGCTGAAAATGGTGTTAGTGACAAAGACTGTAGATACAATGAGCTGTAAGTATCATCACAAGCTCTGTTAGTATCATCACAAGCTCTCTCTCTGTATCCAGTCATATAGTAGTGGTGGAAGGAGGTGGAAATAAATGGGAAGCACAGGAATATGGACACTTATCCGTCAAAGCAATACAAGTCATTTTTCACCAAAACTGCATTGAATTTCTTTAATTCTCAAAAAATAAATAAAAAAAGAAAAGAAACAAACGTCATAGGTAGCTCAGTCCTCTTTCCCCTGTCTCTCGAACTTAACGCGGAATCATCAATCTTTCTCTTGAAAAACCGCCCTCTTTGTAAAGACCAAATCTTCTTCTCTCTTTTAACTTTCAACATTCAAACAAACCATAATAAACAACTGAAACCCATTTTTCAATTTGCTCTTCTTCTCGTTTTATGAGCCAGGAAATTGTGGAGATTTTGAGGTTGCAGAGATCTTGATTGTTTATAAGGATAAAGAAGCCAAAGGTTTGTGCTACTTCAAAATCTCTTCTTTCTCTCAAATTAAAGAAATAAAGATCTTCCATTCTTGTTGAGAAAGTTTCCTTAGAGGTTGGTAGTTTGTTTATGGCTACTGCCGCTATATTTTCTTCTCTAAGGCGGCGACGATCGCCGTCTTTAGAGGTTTTCTTGGCACCGGTTGATTTTACCGACGTGGGACTTGTACAGACTCTTGTATCATTGTCAACAGAGCTTGTGTCTTCTTTCTCAGGGAAGTCACTCTTCTTTCAAAGAAAGAATTCTCGTTCTTTAATTCGTAAAATTGAAATCTTTGTTGTTTTATTGGAGTATCTGAGGGACTCTGGGGTTGGTTCTGCCTTATCTTCTCCCACATTTGCTTGTTTTAAAGAGCTTTATTTGTTGCTGTACCGCTCAAAAATATTGCTTGATTATTGTGTGCGATCCAGCAAATTATGGTTGTTGCTTCAAAACCATTCGATTTCGGGCCATTTTCATGATTTGAATCAGGAAATATCTACCCTTTTGGATGTTTTTCCATTGGATGATGTTGAACTGAGTGAGGATGTTAGGGAACAGATTGATCTTATGCAAACACAATCAAGGAGAACGAGGTTATTGATTGATAAGGATGAGGAGGCTTTGAGAGTCAGGTTGTTTTCGTTTCTTGATGAGTTTGAGCATGGAAGGATTCCTGGTCTGGCGGAGTTGAGGTTGTTTTTTGTGGAGGGTTTGGGGATTAAAGATGCCAAGAGTTGTATAACAGAAATTGAGTTCTTGGAGGAGCAAATTGTTAGTCACGAGGGAGATATTGAGCCCACAACTTCGGTGCTTAATGGGTTTGTCGCAATTGCTCGGTATTGTAGGTTTTTGCTTTATGGGTTTGGGGAAAACGAGGTGGAGTTGCAAATTGGGAATCAGAAGAAGCGGAGAAAAGGGTTGATTGCTCAAGAGATTGCAGAAACTTTTATTACAATACCCAAGGATTTTTTCTGTCCGATATCGTTGGATTTGATGCGAGATCCGGTGATAATTTCAACTGGGCAGACTTATGATCGGAGTTCAATATCTAGGTGGATGGACGAAGGGCACTGTACTTGCCCCAAGACGGGGCAGATACTCATGAACACTCGCCTTGTTCCAAATCGGGCTTTGAGGAATCTGATCGTGCAATGGTGTACTGCTCATGGAATCCCTTATGACCCTCCAGAGAATACAGATTCATCTGTGGAGGCTTTTGCAGCGACTATGCCTTCCAAAGCTGCAATTGAAGCCAACAGAGCTACAGCAACGCTTCTAATTCATCAGCTGGCAAATGGTTCGCAAGGTGCAAAGACTGTGGCTGCTCGTGGGATACGTTTGTTAGCAAAAACTGGAAGAGAAAACCGTGCTTTCATTGCAGAAGCTGGTGCGATTCCCTACCTTTGTGAACTGCTGTCTTCTACAAACTCTGTTGCACAAGAGAATTCTGTAACAGCAATACTTAATTTATCCATTTACGAAAAGAATAAAAGCCGAATTATGGATGAAAAAGGTTGTCTGGGTTCGATTGTTCAAGTATTGAGGTTTGGACTCACAACAGAGGCAAGGGAAAATGCAGCAGCGGCCTTGTTTAGCCTGTCAGCTGTTCATGACTACAAGAAGAGAATAGCAGATGAGGAAGGGGCAGTTGAAGCCTTAGCTGGCCTATTGAGAAAAGGGACACCACGTGGGAAGAAGGACGCTGTCACAGCTTTATTTAATCTGTCAACACATACGGAAAATTGTGTGAGAATGATAGAAGCAGGTGCAATTGCAGCACTAGTCGGGGCTTTGGGAAAGGAAGGGGTTGCAGAGGAAGCAGCCGGTGCATTGGCTTTGATTGTGAGGCAACCAATTGGGGCTAAAGCAGTAGGGGGAGAGGAAATGGCAGTGGCAGGGCTAATAGGAATGATGCGTTGTGGAACACCAAGAGGAAAAGAAAATGCTGTTGCTGCACTGCTTGAGTTATGCCGGAGTGGCGGGACAGATGCAACTGAGAAAGTGCTCAAGGCACCGGCATTGGCAGGTTTGCTTCAGAGTCTGCTGTTCACAGGCACAAAGCGGGCAAGAAGGAAGGCAGCATCACTTGCCAGAGTGTTTCAGAGGTGTGGGAATTATCCATTGCAGTTTGGCGGATTAGGTGCCGGATATGCTTTCGCTGGAAACTCAGCCGCAAATAGGGATCCAAGTTTTGTCAGCGAAGTGTCAGTGCCTGTGTCCATATCAGTGTCTGTTTTATAGTGGTAAAAGTCCAAACTTTTCATTGTCTACCCTGTTTATAGATGTTCCGCAATATTTACGAATTCTTTCATTGAAATTTTAGATGATAAAGAGAGAAAATTTACAGAAATACTATATCTCGTTTCTTTTGGAAGAACTTATAAATATTGTTGGTCCGTTAGTTTTTATACAAGAAACATCAGTCAGAACAAAATTGAAATTATTAGATACACTTGTGTTAAACTCAAATAAGTGTGTCATGAGAACAAATGAAGCTGCTGCATATCATTTCTTGCCAATTAACTCTGCGCATAAAACATGCCTGAGATGCAGTTTTTTCTATTTCTACATCTGTTTCTTCCTCCCTTTCTTCCGTTTCTGAGGTTTTTTTCAGTCTCTTAGTAAAAATGGGTGACGGTATTCTGTCTAAAGAGTAGACACAGGTAATAAATAAGAGAATACTAAAGATTCGAGCCAGAATTTCTCAATTCTGACACAAGGTACTTATTAGATCGAATGGATGTGTGACAACATTGTTCTGCATAGAACGAAGGTTGTAATCCTTCCCTCTAAGATGACACAGTATCTTTGGCCAAAATCATAGGAATCTCGGCTCAAAGCGTTCTCCAGTTGGTTAGTTTTTGATGAACTGAAGTCTTCATTGATTAATATTCAAGCTGAGAGGTTTCTAGGACAACGAACAGGAGAAAGTATGTAATGTGCCTTATTTTCTTTTCAAAACTGCAAAGGGAATTCGGATAAACGTCATCAATATTCCTTGTTACATCCACAAAGAATATCACTCGGAAGTCAAGATTGCAGACTCCATTTGTTTAAAATCACATGCAAGGGAAACAAGCATCTATGATCTATCAAGTCTAGATGGTCAAAAAAGGGTTTGATCAGCATTTCTGTTCTTCCAAAAGTTCAAAGAAGGCATCTCGTATTTTAACTCACCAGAGTTACTTTATGAAGATTCCATAGAAAGGGAAGGAGATAATTTCTGCATGCGGGGGTTTTCTAGGGACCAAACTGGTGGTGGTTTCTGTGGGTGATGGAAGAATGGCCCAGCCAACTTTTCTCCTTTTAAATAAATTCACCGAGAATGCTCTATTAGATTCCCGTACCACTACAGAATACAAGCAGAACACTATCATGTCCATGATATCAAATAAAGAATGACGTGATGATCCACTCCTCTCATCTTCTATCCAAAAGTGAATGGGCATAGAGTAAACCAAGTACATCATGAACCTCACCTGATAGGTGGCCTCTGCGTAGTACAGAATAATTATGTTGGCGCATGGACAGCCATTGAAATCCAAGCCTTGATGAGGGAAGTTCTCTGGAAAGTAGAATCTTCTTGTAATTGATAGTTTTGGTAATGGTGAGGTGTAGTGGGGCATGCCCACAATCGAAGGCCACCCAAAGTGGATACACAAGTAGGCCATTCATCGAGGAAATTATTACAGACTGCTGGTGGCTGCAGAACACAAGGATTTAGATATTTGGGAATAGTTGAGCTTATCTCAAGCAATAGCTGGTCCCTTTTCCTGTCGATATACCAACTGCTTAGATGCAAGTGGAATAAATCACTTCTCAGGCCTTTGATTTCTGCCGAAGAGAGCATCATATCATTTCGAGACCTCTTTCCTTAGATCCTCAGTCACTACTTTATCTGTGATCACCGTCTGCATTCTAGGAAGTCGCCACCTTGACTGTTGGGGCAAGATCGTTCGAACTCAGCCTCTGTGCCACGTAATGTAAGGAAGTGTGGAACTCTCAATCCTGATCTTGTTCATGTGCGACAGAAGGCCCAAAACTCAGCTCACTAACACGCTTCGCTTCGGTTTGGGTTGAAATTCTCCACGCTATGCCGCAAATGATCATACCATGCTCGAAGAACTTCAATGCAAAAACATGCACGTACTAAGAATCCACACATTGTGAGCTGCCAACTCCTAATATATATGAGACTTATTTTACATTTGGCTGATAAGAAAAGAAGGTAATATTTATTTATTTTTTATACATGATAATACAAAATTTATATCAATACTGATATGTAAATTAAACTCTATGTCTAATTAAGAAAGAAATTAAGATGTTAATATCATTACTACCAAATAGGTTAATTCTATTATATATAAATGCCTGCCTATTTATCCATCATTTAAACTTTAAATAATTTAAAATAAATTTATAAATTCACTCTTAACCTATTACACCTTATTAATTTGTACTTTATTTTAATCTTCAAAACCCTAAAATTGCTTATAAATATGTCAACAAAAATCCATAGTTAAAATACAAAAACTAATAAAATTACATCAAAATTTATCAAATTATTAAATAGGACCTTAGTTTTTTATATATTATGTTCTTAGTTATTGTTTTGTGCTATCTCTAGATCCTTTAAACAAAAGAACTCATAATTTTTGTTGTTCTTTTTTTTCTTCTCCAATTGCTACTAATATTAAAAGAAGATTCCTTTAAACCAAATAATTAATAAAATTTCTATTCATACTTGTATTTTAATTTTTACTCACCTCACATAAAATTATAATCCAAAAATAACAAAATTAGATAAGAATTTAGAAAAATATTAATTAACAGATATGACAATATTTTTATTTGTGTCTTTATCTTTAATATTTTTCTCATATATATTGAAAAAGCTCTTCAAGACTTAAAGAAAAACAATGTGAAAATACTATAATACTAATATAATCATGCTAAAAGTCAACAGAGCCATGACAAAAACAAAATTATTCACATTATATACCCTATGTATTTGTGCTACATATAGATTTCATTTGAACAAAGAACTCTTTTAGATAGTTCCCACTTGATATGAGAATCTATTTTAATTTTTCAATATTAAATATAAATACTAATATATCCTTAATAATTTACTCAGGTATACATTCACATATAATAAAAATGAATTCTTTAAAATAAAATGAATATTAAAAACTATAATGATGATATTATTATATTAAAACCTAAAGGAGCCTCAAATACAATTTCTGTTCATATAATAAATTTTATGTGTTTGTGTTAGTTATAAATTTTATTTAAAAAATAATTTTTTATATATAAAAGAACTCACAAATTATAATATAATAGTATCTTGTGTGGGAAAATATATTTTAGTTTTGTAATTTTAAAATATAAATATTAATACAAGATCCAATGTTTTAGTAAGTTTTTTATTTATTTAGAAACTTAGGGATGATAAAGGGTGTTCACATGATGGGCTTTGATATTACTTATTAACAAATTTGAATATGAACTATTATTTAAATCTAACCCTTTACCCAATGATATGAATTTTAGATACTCGAACTTAACCCAATTAGGTTGTAATTATCCATTTAAGTACCCATCATTAAACGAATATGAAAGAAACCAATGATTTATTTAATCAATTAGCTAAAAAAGTATCCAATCAAAATCCAAAGTAAATGTACCAATAAAGATAACAAAATCTTGACTAAGATCAAAAGAAATCCAAATTTCAAGATAAATTTGATTAAAATATTTAATCAAGGATTACCAAATTTGCAATCTTTCTTCCTTTATAGACCAACACCTTATATGATTAGATAAAGAGTTTAAATACGAGTCAGACTTATGTTTACTGATGCTCACTTAAACTTTTGCTTATATTGGAACTCATCCTATGAATGAGGTATCCTTGAATTATTTTTATTCTCAGGCTGCATAAGATTAAAAGGTCGGGTTACCTCAATACCATTTAGTCAATTTGCGAGCCTAAAAAGTCTTTTGGAATAAACAATATGAGTTTGAATCTTTATGAGCTAGATCTCATCTTTTAGGATGGACCATTGATAGGACACTAATAAATAACATAACATGTCACACTTATTCATCTTGAATTGTAATTTATTAGATCTTCACAAATCTTTAATGAAAAAGAGAAATTAAGGGACATAATATGATTACCATTAAGGATATGAGTATTAGGTTAAAAAAATTAATGTGATGGGGGATTGCTTGCCAATAAGATTCGAGTTCAAGCTACCAGAGTGAGTGAAGCTAAAAAAACAATGCTTAATGCTAGCCAATTATTGGATTATTATGAGATGATGTCTTTACAAGATCAAATTATATTCTAAAATCAATACGAAGATATAACTCAATATTTGGGTGTAACACTTATATTTCTAAATTGTGATAGGGTTTTGAGACCTATAATATAAGTGTTTCACCTTTGATAATATATATATGATTCTTACCCTTTACGAATATGATTCTTTATTGGACTGTTTATAATTAAACTTGGAGTATTTCTATAAGCCAATATACTAAACTTTATCAAATTATGCTTGGTTGACTAAAATCAATTGAAGAATGGTTGAAGGAAAGATGACTAAGTGGGGGTTTCAATCAAAGTTGGTTATCGATATATCAGAGCCTATATTTAAAAAGAGATTACATGATAAAGAGAATGAGATTTGTTTGAGAATTTTAGCTTTGAACATTTAAGATTTGATTCTTTTCCTATTAAAAGAATGTATGATCAACTTTAAATGTGTAATTGCTCTTCAAGTTAATCCAACAACAATAATTTTAGCTAAAATATTTTATCACTGAATCACTATAGAAAAATAAAAAAAAAAAGGTCGTTTAAGGTGTTGTTTACAGCTATTATTTGTTTGGAACATGAGTTACATGGTGAAAAGAAAAATATATATATATATATATATATATATATATATATATATATGATCTATTTAGAACCTTATGGCATTTATATTTAAATTAGAGAAATTTGTTTAACCCCCACTAAAAGATATATGAAAGAATACTTGTGAGAGGATGTTTTCCAGCTTGAGAAAATCTGTATTTCATTGAAGGACACAATGTAGTTATTTCTTATCTTACCTTATATATTGAGGTGATTATACTTAGGTTTCATCGATGGGGGCTTGATGTTACATTATTTATTGCTTTAGTTTGGTTTTACAACAATTAGGTTATGAGAAATTCATAACTCGAACCATTGGACTAACTGAATTCTATGAAGATTCAAAATTTTAAAGAATTTAATGGAATTAGTCAAAAAGTTTAGAAGTATCGTGGTATAGTCACATTCACCAATAACGTAGATGGAATAGCAACCCCGTATTAACCAATATGGTAAAAAATAAGAGAAAAAACTTATAAAGTTCCATAAAGGACCTTAAAAGCTAATTGTTCAGATTATAAAAGATATGCAAGAAGAGATTAGAGTCCAACAAGAGTCCTATAATGAAGACCTGAACTCCGAGCTAGAGGAATTAGCTATAAAAATGAGAAAATTAGAATCTAACTTAACCAACTAGGAGTGGAATTTGATCATAATGAAGAAAAAAGCAAATAACATTTTAGCCCACTTACAAAAGCACTAGTAAGCCTTTTAAGAATTATAAGAAAAGTTCAACTATTTACATAAACAAAAGAAAGGCAAGAGTGTAGAATGATAAGGAAATGTTAAGAAACTCAGGCTGAAGTAGGAGAATTGAAGTAAGCAAATGAAATACTCTGAAAGCTAAGCTAGCTACATGCCAAGTTAATCACACATCTCGATTATGAGACTACTAGGTTCATTTATGTCAAACAACCTTTGATTGAATAAAAAAATACTGCAATATAAGAAGCACAACATTAGACCTTAAAAACTATGAGCTATTACTTTTAAGCTAAAAACTTCAAATTTTTAGCAATGAAAATAAGAGGAACAATGCAATATCTAGCTAAAAACCTAACAGTGCTATGAGACATATTTATAAAGTTCCTCGAGCAACTTTGCGATTGCATAAACTAAATAGCAAAATATCTTGGCTTGAGGACATAAAAGGATTGGATACTTGAAATTTTAAAGAATCATGTATTGAATAAATCAATTTTTATTGAGAAATAAAAATTATTTTTTTTATCAATGGTTGTTTAGTATTTAATGTGTCTTTGTATGAATCCCTATCAATGACAATATCTTTCCTGAATCAACTAAAGTTCATATGAGTTTATAGTTCTTAGCGAGAATTTTTTCAAAATAAATAATGACATGTAATGCCAAATAACTCATTTTTGAATATACTGTAGTAAAATAGTTGAAATCACACTTGATTAAAAACTAACAACCCATTTTTTTATAAAAGCTTGATTGGTGATACCTTAATTTGGTATATGAGGGTTGGAAATACAAAAATAAAAAAATTAAAGATATTTGGTAGAGGCCTTTATCAAGCAATAAAAAATTAATATTAGTATAGCTTTATTAATAATAAATAAGTTTTTATATAAACAAAAATATTATCACACTTAACTAACTAATTGATTATAAAGTATATACATTAAAAAAAGATACAACCATTTTATGATAAAAGGACGTAGGCGTTTTTAGTGAAAATGTATGTGGTCATATGTGGTAGATGGTATAAGAAACTCTAGGGAAATAGTGAAAATAACATGTTTGTTATTCAATAACAAAGCTTTAGTGAAGAGTGAAGAAATGTTTCTTGCATAATAATAGTGAATGAAAACTAGACCACAATGAGTTCATATTAGATATTATTGTATGAGTGCTTAAGTAGTCAAAGGTGAGATATCTCTCAAGCTGTCAAAATTTTTTGTACTTGAGAGGGTGTTGATTATCGATAATTTTATTTTTTAGATCATATTTTATATATGAAAAGAAAAGTGAGTGAAAACCTTATGATGTTGAGTGAAGTGTTCATTTTCATGAATTTAAATTTATAATTAGAGTATTATGGTAGAGAGAAACGTGAACACTATTTATAAGTGGTGTGCGTATCATCTAATTGAGTGATTCTTAATATGAGAAAATTTGAATAATAGTGTTTACATAGTCAATGATGAAGTTTTGGCTAGAAGGAGCATGGAAACAAGTATCAATTGACTTTTATGGATATTTCCATAAATTAAAAAGCTAGATAAACTATAGAATGAGATGACCGTTCTCTTATGAAAATTCAAAAGCAAAAGCTGGCCTTCCAAATAGTCGTGCTCAAAATCTGGTTTCATTGGTTGGAATTTGCATAGTTTTAAAACCCGGCCCGACCCGGAGGGTTGACCCGGGACCCGGCCGACCCGGGGCTGGAACCGGGCCGGGTTGATGAAAAAATAAGGTAAGTCATGACCCGGCGTGACCCGGCCGACCCGGAAACCTGGACGACCCGGCAAAACCCGGTCAAAAACTCGGTGGTAACCCGTTGACTTGTATTTATTTTTTTATTAAAACGACGTCGTTTTGAATTTTTTTTAAAATAGAAATTGACCCGGCCAATCCGTTCGATCCGGTCAAAATCCGGTAACCCGGTCAAAAACTGTGGGAATTTGGAACCTAGTTGATAAAAATAATATCAGGGTCATTGTCGAACGACAATCAGCCGTGACCAAAGGGGTAAAATTAATTGAGAAACTGAGCAAGGACCATAGGCCGACGACTCTGGGAACGAAAGTAGCTATCACGGGTCAATCCTTGTAGGGATGATAGACCATTCTTTTCGTCAAAAAATCGTTTCCAATGATCTTGTTATATCAAGGTTAATTGTATTTACGGTTTGTAGTTTCAAAATTATGTATTAAAGTAAATTATTAGCTAATGCTGGCATAGCAGCTTTTGATCATCTTATGGTCTCTACCATACCTCCTGGAAGCACAAATTCATTATGCTGACACCACATCATGGACAAATAATAACATCTCCTTACCATCAATCTCTAGTGCCAATCGGATCATTCTGTTGAATGAGATTGGTTTTGCTTGTGGATTCTACACCGACTATTATGGGGTTTTTTCTGCTGTCGGGATAGCCAAAACCTGGACAGATTGGAGTGTTGGGAATGGTAGTCGGTATTTTAGCCATCAAATATGGTCGGCGAACAGAAATAAGCCTGTTTGCGAGAATGCAACTCTGCAGTTTCTCCCAGAAGGAAATTTGGTCCTGAGAGATGCAGATGGGACTCTGGCTTCATCTGTAAATTTGATTGCTTGGTCTCCCAGAAGGTTATTATTATTGTTGTGTTTTTTAACGAGCATCCGCACCTCTTTTTACGTCAAGCATCCTCGAATATGAGTCAATTTTCCACGCCTGTCATTCTCGTTCTCGGCTGTTGGGTCTTTAATGGCTGCCGTATTGCTTGACGAGGACCATTTAAGTATTATTCTCGACCTTTTATTTATTTATTTTTTTGGATTTTTTCTGCTGGTGGGTCTATAATGCTTTCTTATAACTGAAATCTGTAAACAGAAACTTTTTATTTATTTTCCGCGTCAAGAAAGTTAAGGAACAACCACCAACTTTTTTTAAACTCCCACTCCACTCTCGCTCCTTCTGCTGTTAATCCAATTCCAAATATTTACGGAGAAAAAAAATATTAATCTTTATTTACAACGTTGGTTAATTACAATTAGTACAATGATATCAATTTCTTCTCTTATATTAAAATAGTGATACCAATTCTAGATATTATTTATGAATCTGAATCATTTTTTATATAAATATTATATTTTCCTAAAAATAAAAATTATAGAATATAAAATTAAAACACACACACACAAGCAAGCATGGCAAGAAATTCATAAATATCAAATTATGTTATGTATGAAAAATACTAAAAAAAAGATAGGTTAATTTGGTCATCCCATAAAATTATGGAGAGAGATTAAAACTCAAGGAATGGGAATAGCACTGCACAAAATATTAATGATATTTATTATTTATAGTATATGGTCAATGAAGTGTCATGATTTATCGAGTGATTTCCAATGAAATTTGTAGCACGTACATACCAGCTTAATTCTAAGTTCGCTAGAAGAATTATTTGATTTTTGAACAAATTGATATGCACTTAGGCACAATCTACTCCTTTTTTTTTCTTGTTAATAAAAATTGTATAAAGAACAATTAAATATATATTAAAATCAACAAATCAACAAATTAAATAAAATTGTATTGTTCTCTACAACAAATTGTGCAGACCCTAAAAGAAAAGTGAGAGCGCGAGATGTGCTTCCGGGACAAATTAAAATCAAGAAATTAACACGTTAAAAAAACTTTCAATATGCCTTGTATGTATGATATGTAAATTGACTAGGTGGTTTGCATCACTGTGTAGCCATTAACATATTTAATATCAATTCAATCTTGAGTATGAACCTATTCTCCAATGTCACTTTCATTTGCTCCAATGGGAAAATAATGCTTGAATTTTCTTGTCTCATGTTTACTTGCGGTTAAAAGAAAAGTTATGATGGGTATTGCGAGGAAATCATACAACAAGAATCGTAAACTCTTGAGGGTAAACATGTCCACTATCCATGGCTGGTAATAAGGACGGCGAAATTAAAGAATTTTCATTGATGGGGCAAATAGCATCACGTTGTGTTAAAAAACAGGAAAGCTTCCTAAGTCCTATGGCTGCTGCTGCACTGCCTTCATTTGGTGTTGTATAGAAACAGCATTTATTGATCTGTATTACATTCCAGAGTAATACCATACAAAAATAGTAGAGCTCATGGCTATATGGCCTTTGAATGATATCTTGCTAGTGCAGCTTTTGATCATATTATCTCCTGCATACTTCCTAGAAGCTCAAATTCATGACTCCACAGCACAAATATCGACATCATGGACAAACAATTTGTCCATTCCAGCGGGAGACTTCGATTTCTACCAAATGATCTTGATGAGTGAGTCTGAGTCTTTTGCTTGTGGATTTTACTCCGAAGACCAGAAAAATGATTCCTTTTATTTTGCAGTTGTATCACTCCAAATATCACATTATCCAGATGGTAGTTATAATTTCACTCTTGAGAATGTCATATGGTTGGCAAATGAAAATAAGCCTGTTGGGCAGAACGCAACTCTAAAGTTACTTCCAGAAGGAAATTTGGTTCTGAGAGATGCAGATGGAGCTTTAGTCTGGTCTACCAACACGTCTAACATGTCTGTTGCAGGTATAAAGATGATGGAAACAGGAATGCTTGTGCTTCAAGGCCACAATAATAAGACTGTGTGGCAATCTTTTAGTACTACAGCGCATGTGTCCACTTCATGGACGAATAATTATCGCATATCAGCCATGCCTTATAATCCATATAAAATAATCATGATGAACGGAGCTGTTTTTTCTTGTGGATTTCACTCCATGGACCGGAATTCCTTCTATTTTGCAATATGGAAGCAATCGGAATATGCTCGGGATGCCTTATGGTTAGCAAACAGAAACAGGCCTGTTGGTGAGAACGCAACTTTACAATTATTACCAGATGGAGATTTGATCTTGAGAGATGCTGCTGGAACTTTCGTTTGGTCTACTAACACATCTAACATGTCTGTTGCGGGTATGAGGATGATGGAAACTGGAAACCTTGAGCTCTATGATGTCAATAACAAGACTGTTTGGAATTCATTTGATCATCCTGCTGACGTACTGTTTCTTGGGAACAAATTAGTGGCAGGACAAAAGCTGGTGGCAAGTGTTTCGAAAACTGATAGATCTGAAGGTGGCTTCAGCCTTTTTGTGATCCCACAAGGTTTGTTTGCTTCTTACCAAGCTACTGCGCCACAAAAGTACTTCAAATTTTCAGTTTTTGGGGGCATAGACAGCCTCCAACTAAGTCATGATGAATCCTCTGGTAATCTTGCTTTACTTATAATGTCAGCTTCACCTGATGAGCCGAATACAATGCTTACAAGCACCGTTAAATACTCAGCGACGGCTTACATGAAATTTGATCCTGATGGGCATCTCAGAATTTATGATGGCAACATGATTGACGGGGTTGATCTGTTGACAGATATGATGAGTGCATGTGATTACCCAACAACTTGTGGTAATTATGGGCTGTGCTTCAATGGGCAGTGCTCGTGCCCAGCAGGTTTTGCTCGAGCCAATACCCCAAATGATCAAGGCAACTACAATTGCTGGCAGATGAGTCCAACCACATGTGAAAATCCAAAATCCCATTCTCTTCTTCCCCTGGAAGATGTCTACTATTTCAATTATGTTGACCCTGAGGCGGCGGTCCTGAACGGAACAGACATGAAGAGTTGTAAAGATGCATGTTTGAAAAAATGTTCATGCAACGCTGCTCTATTTCAGTATCACGGTAATGATTCTCATGGGAATTGTTTTTTGCCCTCACCAGTTCTTACACTAATGGCTGATGGCAAGGAAAGAAATAATTACTATTCTTATGCCTTCATCAAAATTTCTAATGATGGAGAGAATGGAAGTGCTTTTACATCTTCTATCAATCCTACATCTTCTATCAATCCTAAAATAATAGCAGGATCAACTATTGGAGCCATCCTTCTTATGAATTTAATTGTTGGTCTATGTATTATGGTTTTGAGGAAGAAAAGAGATCGAGAGGAAGGAATGGAAGACTTGAATCAACTATCAGGAAGGCCCATGAGATTCACATACCAAGAACTAGGAGTAGCAACTTGGGATTTCGAGAAGAAGCTTGGAGGAGGAGGGTTTGGATCAGTTTTTGAAGGAATTCTAGAAAATGGAGAAAAAATTGCAGTAAAGCGCCTAGATGCTTTAGGCCAAGGGGAGAAGGAATTCTTGGCTGAGGTCAAAACTATAGGAAGCATCCATCATGTCAACCTGGCGAGGCTAATTGGATTCTGTGCTGATAAATTGCATAGGCTTTTAGTCTATGAGTTCATGTGCTGTGGGTCTTTGGATAAGTGGATTTTCTGCAGGGAACCACTACTACATCCTCTGGACTTCCAAACTAGAAGAAACATTATCATGGATATAGCAAAGGGGCTGGCCTATCTCCATGAAGAATGCAGACAAAGAATAGTCCACTTAGACATCAAACCACAAAACATTTTGTTGGATGCAAATCTGCATGCTAAGATCTCTGATTTTGGCTTGTCTAAGTTGATTGACAAGGATCAAAGTCAAGTGGTGACCACAATGAGAGGAACTCCTGGGTACTTGGCTCCTGAATTATTCAGCTCAGTCATCACAGAGAAGGCAGATGTTTATAGTTTTGGAATCGTAGTCATGGAAGTCGTCTGCGGAAAGAAAAATCTGGATAGGTCACAGCCTGAGTGCATGCATTTGCTCCCTATTCTTATGAAGAAGGCACAGGAGGATCAATTGATTGATATGGTTGACAATAGCAGTGAGGATATGCAATTGCACAGGTTAGAAGCTGTGGAGATGGTGAGGGTTGCTATTTGGTGTCTGCAAAGTGATCACACAAGGAGGCCTAGCATGTCAACCGTGGTTAAGGTCTTAGAGGGCAACATGGGTGTTGAAGCAGACCTAGACTATGGCCTTCAGAATGCAACAACAATGGCAGCAATAAGAAGAGAGGCAGTGCTGGGCAGTACTGCCACATTGCTGCCATCACTACTATCAGGACCAAGGTGAAGAAAGATCTTTTGCGAAATATATGTGGTGTTTATGTTTCTCTGATAGGTGTTTTACCTTCAGTTGTATTTATATCGCTATTGTAATGTTATCTGGGAAATTGTTCAATTAGCATAAAGTGTGACAGGAAAGCATGAAAAACTGCAAGAAACTCCCGGCTACAATTAGCTGCTTACTACAAGTAAAATAACTACCAAGTAAATTCTAGCTCCAAGTATATCACTGCAATGATTATAACTTCTCTGGCATTTAAAGCCAAGAAATGCCATCAGTTTTCAGTTAAGTTTTTGAGGTAAAAAAATTTAATTTTATAGCCAACAAAGAGCCAAATATACATGATTCCGGTTAACATGTTACTATTAACATTGTGCTGATTCTTTTCAGAAAAATCATATCGAGGGCATTTGATTGAATTGTGTTGACTTAGCATGGAAAATTGAAGCTACCTCCCCAGAAACCTCTTTTCTTTTCTTTTTCTTGAAGCTGCAATTTGTCTTCGCAAATCGCTACTCATTGCTCAGGTATAATGATGTCAAAGTCACTAACAGTCCATTCAGCAACTTGATTTGGGGCCTTGAATATCTCTGTTCCTAAATCAATGGACATCCACTGCCTCCTAGCCGGAGGAGTCCCAGGATCCTGCAAAATAAGTAATAGCTTTGTCCATTTTAATAATTCAAAGAGCTTTGTCCATTTTAATGATTCATCATGTCACTTCCTTTCGGCCTCTGTAAAAATTTCCTTCCGTTTCTAGGATGCAGGATTATATCTAGTGACTTCGAGTTTTGAAAGAACTAGCAAATTTGAAGCTCTGAAACTGTGCTAAGGCCATTTAATCCATAAGAGAAAAGTGGAAGACAGAAAAGCAAACCTGGTAGAAGTAAAGTGATTGCGACAACCTCCCAACATCAAGTTCCCAAGTTCTCGGGTCACCAATCCAACCCTCACCTTGCTTGGTAGGATATCCATACTCACCCCAAACTGGATGTGGCAAAATCTGTAATATCTCCTGAGGCTGAGGATTGCTATAGGGATCACACAAACTATAAGGAACTTCAAGATGCTCTGCATTCCCCGGAGAACAGTACAAGTGATAGGCGGCATAAGGGAAGCGAGCAGTGTCATTGCGATGGATACGTGTTCCATCGGGAAATGTATGGTAAGGAGGGCACACATTGAGGTTGTTTGGATGGCACCATGAACTTATGTTTGGATTTATGATCATTTCGCTGTATCGAGTGACATCTGAAGTAACATTTCCATCGCAAGGTTTCCCGTCGTTCTTCCAACAGCTTCCCATGTCCATCAGGTAGAACTGGCTGCTAGGACCCCCACCATTGATTACATTTAAAGTGAACCTTACTTTGAAGTTTGGTGATTCTGGGATCTGCATATAGTGCACGTCAACTCCATCACTCACAAGTTTGTTTGGCTTGTAAGTAAAACCTGCATTAGTGCATGATATAGACTAATTTTTCAACCCCTAGATGTCACTCGTGTAAATCCACCTCCCCTGTGAAATGTTTGCAGGATTTGACCTACATTCCAATCTATTTCTATGCATCATAATATTTTATCTACACCGGAGGCTTGGCAGAAACAAAGAAAAGGTAAGGCACTCCCTTTGTTTGTATTTGAACTGTTGAGGAATTTGAATATGTATATTAATTAGATCAAAGAATGTAAAAGGAGTACTCACAATTTTTGACATACCCCTTGTTGGGTAATGGTACCCACCAGAAACATCATGTGTGGCATCTGATCTCAAGTAAAGCATCAACCATGGATACTTTGTTGAGGTCCTCAAAAGATGATGAAAAATCCAACTTCCCTTTCCTACCTCCTTCTCCCATGTCACAGAATGGTATGAAATGTTATCCATTAGTCCCTTGCTCAAATCTGCATCCAAATCCCATGACCCATAAAACCTTCCTTTAAGTGTCGTCCTATGAGGCCCTTGCAACGTGGTGTAATCATGATAAATGAATGGCTGGTTCATGCACCCTTTTCCAAAGCAAGGGAATCCAGTGTCCGGGCCAAAAGGCCCCACTCTGTGGCCATTTTTGGGGCACTTGGCTGAGTAAGTGTCCATGTTGCCGCTTTTGAGCATGATCATCCAGAATTGCCACGGATTAGGAGTGTCTTCAACTTGGCATTTTGAGCCTAAATAGAGTTCCTTATCCGCAGCATAAAGGTTTACATCATAAAGGGCATTTGGTTGCACTCCTAGAAAAGGGTTTCCAACACTAAGCTTGTTGTCTTCCACTGTGACTCTGTGGACCAATGCATAAGGCAAGGAATTGCAGAGGGCGCAGTCCTTTTCTACAAGACAGAAAATTCAGAAACAAAATAAATACAGATCATAAATGTTCGAGTACTTTCTTCTTACAACTTACTACAGAAACATAGAAGTTATACAAACCCTTCTTTTCGTTAAGAAATTGTCTATTCTGAGTTCAAGTTCTTGCTGGGAATTTATACATTTATTGGATTTATAAAACTCAAGAATCATAAACAGACTAACTCTTGTTCACTGAAGGAAAGGTATCATTGTACTAACAATCTACAACATGACAATTTTCTATCCAAAAAGGCAATTCAATACGGTGATAAAGCAAACAGATCTTCCTAAATTATCACCAGAGATGCATGAATACTTTAAACAAGCATATTAGGCTTCATTGCATCCAGGTGCAGATAGAAGACAAGCAAAGAAAATGGCCTGAAAATCTTACCTTCTGCCTTCGGAGAAGCCTTGAATATGTCAAAGCAATCTGCAGCTCTTGGGCTGCCCATAGAAGGAACTTCTTCTCCAACCTCATTGCATTGATTCCATGACTCTATTGCCAACCTTAAACCATCTCTTCTCATTCCGGGATCGCCTAATGCTGATACGTACTCATTTGCAGCTGTAGCATATAAGGCTCCTGAAAGAATAACCACGGCCAGAACAGGAAGAAAATAAACTGGGTTCTTCTTTCCATCCATTGGTTATAATAGAGGAAGTTTGATATCACACATGTACATAACTATATATAATATGATAATGAATTCAAGAGTCTCAGTAGAGATGTAGAATTCGAACTTGATTGATTGAGAGCCAAGTACGAAAAAATTGCTCTAGACTTTGGTCTTACTTTCCAGTTGCGAGGAACATACTCTTCCTCGTAATGAAAGCTCTACAGATATTATTGTTAATTTCCTATGTGTAACTTCGGTCGGTACAAATTCCCGTTCATAGAGGGCTACTTATGCCTTTCTTAAACTAACTCTCGCACCAGAAAAGAAAGGGACAAACCAGAATTTTTAATGAAAAACAATATAAGCTAGGGATACAAAAGGACTTTTGGTTACATCTGTTTAAAATCATATTCACAAAGTTAGAGAAATCACTGGAAAATAGTAAAAGTTCATCTTCAGCCTATGCTGTAAGGAAAGGTGTCGTTTCTAGCTAACTTCTGTAGACGTTAAAACCTACCCTAGCAAGTCTTCACGTATTCCAAAAGGACATTACAATAAAAAAGTTTATACTACTTCGAGTATATACTTGGGGGTATACGTATAGAGTTATTGAGCCGTTATTCTGCAGAACAAGCAGAGGAAAACCAAAATAGGAGATTCTGGCCCTTCTTGCTGGTAATGATCACACATCGCATTACAGTATGAATCTGACAATGACCCTTCTTGCCTTTGATGGACCACGGGTCGGCTGCACATGCTAAACTTATTACAAGGCCAAAGTGGGACTGAAAGCGGAACAATTGTCCTAGTCTGTGCAAGTTACATGAATGCTATTATGTCAAGTGTAATTGTAATTTCTAGCTCTGCAATGCAAATTTACTCCAAATCCTTCGCTGTCTGTGATGCAAACCACACATTGACTGTAACAGTGGGTAAGGGCATTAGCATAACTAATTTGGTCTTAACAAGCAAACATTGATGTCTGCAGCCTTTCTAACTAGAATACCAGTTGTTGGTTTTCTTTAAAACAAAGTGATGCCTCTATCATATCTGGAGTAAGAGAAAAGTTTCTATATTCTGTTCTTGAAATGCAATCTATCCTCTAGACGCAAAACTTGTTGACAATACAGGACCTCAACCTACTGCAGGTGTTTATCCAATGCAGCCAAGGATTTGGACCGATTTACTTTTGTTTGTGGGCCTGAGGCTTACCAAACCCAACCATTCTTTCACCCTTAATTCTTATTAAGTGCTACGATCTTCTTTTTTTTCCGAGGCTATTAGCCACTGTAGTGGTCTTTGACATAAAAGCAAAAAGTCACACCTCCAGAAACCAAAAATAAGCAAAAGGTAAAAGAAGGAAACAGATAGATTTTAAAGAAAACGAAAGGAAATGATTAAAGAAAGAAATCTCCAAATCACTAAAGCCATAAAGAGAGAACTGTCAGTCCTAATTGTCCAAAATCTGCCCCCATTTCAAAGGCCTGGTAGCTGGTTCATACCAAGATACAAAAGTTCACGAGCTGCTGATGCAACAACACTGGACATGTGGACAGAATTATAGACCATAATTCTTGTGAATGAACTTGGGGTGATCCTGCACCTAGAGGATCAAAGGGATTCCCATCTGAGCATGGGCTTAGGCATGAATTCATTTCCATGTACAAACCATAAAGTGAAAAAAAGAAGCCAAAGTGGTCACAAGATTAAGGGCGGGTGCCTCTTTTGAAAAGAAAAAAAAAACTAGCAGCAGAAAACAAAGTAAGAAACCCACGTCCCTATTTATAAGTCTCTAACTGTCCCAAACTGCTACAGCTCTCTCTCCCCCCCTCCCATTATCATCCCATTCAGTTTCTTATCACCATCTCCATCTTCTTCTTCTTCTTCTCTTGGCAACTGGATAACCTTAAAAAAATAATATCAAGCTATTCTCATCAAAGCAAAAGAAAGAAAACTACTCCATAACAAGCAGGAAAAACCCTGCTTGTCAGAAGTAGAAAACGATGAAGTGGCGTAGGAAAAAGACCCCATCCTCTTCGCGCCCTTCTTTAATATCTCATGTTTTCTCCACTTCCTGGCTAACAAAGTTCAAGCACATGAGCATCAACCCAGGGCAAGAACATGCAAAAGCGAAGCAAAAAGGGAAATGGAATTCTGTTTCCGCAAGTCCATTGCCATTTGCTCGTGGTGAAGGAGGAGGTAGATTCTATGGAGGGGATGGCGATGCTTTTTGGAGACTTTCTTTTGGTGACG